AAGAAAGGTAAAAGAGAGGGGATTTTTTTCTTGATACTTCTCCACAAAAGCTCATGATTTAACCTTTTGCTAAAAATAAAACTAAATAACTCTCAATAGTACCCCTCTATAGGACGCTTCAATGGCCCAGAAGAACTAATGCCCTCAAATCCCACTCAAGGCTCAACCAGAAATGACTTGACCGTCGGAGGTACGCACGGGGATAATGAGCCCCACGCCTCCCACGGGTTTCTTCTTGTTATGTACAGAAGGATTAGGAATTCCAGTCTAAATGATCGGGCAAAATAAAAATCGGAGGAGGAGTCGCCCCCATCTCTCAGTCCTCCCCTATTCGTCGCCAGCACGAAGACGCAAGAACCGCAACGCCCCTCGTTTGTGTTGATATCAACATCAACATATAAATATCTGGATGAGGTGACAACTCACTAATATTCAATACCTACGGCGCATCATCATCATGCATTTTCATTATCAAAATTTGAATAATGCCTGTAAGCAACAAGCTTTGTGATAGTGTTTATCTAATGTCTAACTAAAATAAAGGGAATTTAATGTGTCGTTATCATCTAACTTAGAGCAGCAAAAACACCTCATGGCAGCAGAAAGAGGAAGTGAGGTAACTTCTGATGTATTCTATTCTTTTCTTTATCATTGATCAACATCATTATGGACACACATCATGGATTTTTTTGGCTATACGTGAGAACAAAACAGGTACAGATGCGCACCAATAATCAAAAAACTAACATTGGTTAAAAATTTCAAAACACAAAAGAATAACACAATGCACACAGTATATGAATTTAAAGGGGAAAAAAAAACAAACACATTGGGTTTAAAAATCAAAGGTGGAATCAACTATGCATTATGCCCTCTGCAAATATTACTATTCTCGGTTATGTAGGCATAGTTGTATTGTTATATCTTTCCTTGATATATGAGAAACAAACTTCTCCATTACCACTTGCACAGTACAATGATTTGGCATCCACTCTGGAAAATCAATAGAAACATATATAAATAAGGCATGCTCCATATATAAATTAACTTGGATTGAATTTAAATTTGATAGGAATATATATCGCTTTGATAAAGTATCAGTTTTTTTTACTTTATTCCCTATATATTGTATTTGTTTCTTACCTGAGGTCCAATGGGTAATCCATTTCTTTCTGTGGTATGTGGATACTAATGCATTTGCATCAATATTTATCCAAATTTTGCAATGAGAGTATAATGATTGATACGCGATGAAATCCAATTTATTCCGTAAATGTTCTCTTTCTCTAGGTGTGAAAGATTGGTGATCTGATTAAGAAATTATGATGATTTGGTAAAGGTAGTAACCAAGATTATAGGATCTTAGGAGCTTCGAGAACACAGGCAATTTCATCTCTTTAATTAGTGTACATATCTTGACATTTCTCAAAAAATGGAAATGGTTTAGGAAGTATATACATATCAAAGTTAATGTGATTGAAGAAAATTTTTATTAGCCATACCAACTTAAAAGGTAAAGCAAGTTGAGCAGCCAGTAAGTAACACTAGTATTTTCCCAGGGCTCATACCATTGCCGTGGATAACTATCAGCCAATATAAACCTCCTTGACCTACCTAAAGAATAAGGATGCATACAAGCTATTCCCAATGATAATTTTTTTTATTTAAAATAAAATTTCAATATTCATACAGTTTTAAAAAAAATCTGTACGTGGTAAGTATTTTTTGTAGGTAATTAAACCGCCGGCGGCGTGTGACAGTATATACGTCGAATTTCCAGAGGAGCAATCTCCGGAAGGGTTTGGAGCAACGACCCACGGTGGATACCTTCCGCGCAAAATAACTGTTGCTTGAGGCATGAAGGTTCGGCTCATTAAAAGGGCTCCAATGTTCTACTGTCGATCGCCAAATTCCTCAAACATACTTCTGGGGCAAAAATATGCTGAAATCTGCAATGAAAATTTTTGAGAAAAAAGTAAAAAATGTTGTCAAACACAGTTATGTGAAATATGCTAAGAAATGTAATTATTGGAAAAAGAGATTTTACTGTATTTTGGCGGGATGAGCCAGGCACCATATGATGTTGGCGAATTTACGCACGAAATCCCAAACACAGCAGAAACGTAATAATAGAGAAAAATACACACCAGTATTAACGAGGTTCGGTCAACTGCAGTACGTTCTTGGGAGTGCCAGACAGTAAATGTTCTTGTATTTAATTCTCAGAAATTACAAAACTTTAGCGAGATTCCTTTCGCCAAAAAAATTTCCCCAAACATTGAGCTACAGTGTTAAATCATCTATCCTTAAATATCATCTTCTCCTTATAATTAAACCTCCGCCCCTTCTTAATCTCCCTCAAAATAATTCTCCAATGAGAAGCTGGAAATAAGAACGAAGAGAGAAGGCAGAGAACACCGTCGCCGCCGTCTAGATCTGAGTGGCGAAGAGAGAAAAATCAGGGCTCAAGATTTTCGCCGCGCTGCAAATCGCACGCGAGATGAAGCAATCGACGGGGCCGGGGGGGGGGGGGGTTGCTCTGGGTTCCCTTTTATAGAGAAACCCTAGGAAGAGAGCGACAGGCTGTGGAACAGGGCTGTCGTTTGGCTTTCTGCGAGCATTCTTAGCGAGTCGCCCCGCATGCACGCAAGACCTCGCCTCAACTCGTCGTTCGAAGCTCGTCCTGATCTCGTCGAGCTCGCCTGCTTTCAAACGATCGCCTGAACCGTCGCCGACCTCAGTCCGGCTAAAGTTCGCATGCGCCACGAGCTATCGCCTGAAGCCGCTTAACTCGAGCTCGCCCTGAAGGTCTTCTCGACCTCGGCCTGACCGCGCTCCGGGCCATGAAGCTTCATCACGCTGAAGTTCAACCAGACTTTCGAGCTCAGCCTGAATTGAGGTTTATGATCCTTCACCCCAATTCGCAATATCTCCCACATGAAGAAAAAAATCTTAGCGGCGAAATTTACGGGACAATCAAGTCCCGTGAAATTTTTGTAGCCATATACAAAACTTCAACGGGAGTGAAAAGTCCGGCGTGAAGTTTCAGAACATGTTGTCAAAACGACCGTTTCAGCTCAGACGGTTGAAACTAGGTCGGTTTTGATAAAATTTTTTAGTATAGGTCGGAATTTGCGAATTTTTTTTGATAAATAGGATGTTTTTCAAATTTGTCGCATAGTTTTAAACTAAATATCATATAGAGGCCCATAAAACAAATGAACTCCACTTGAAGAAACTCTGAACCATGATATCGAAAATCTGTAGGGCGTTAAGCTCCGCAGGGAATGTATCAAGTTGATATCTTGCTGTTTTATAGAACAAATCATTGTATCATGAGTAGATTATTGTAATAGCAATCAAAAGCTTTTATGTAAAATTGCAAAATAATCATCCACAAAATCAAAGTTTATATGAATCATCGTTAACCATATAGACATGATAGATGGTTGTCAGCAACGTCTCGCGTTAGCTACCAATCCTGTGATTTTTCCAAGAATACAAGGAGACTGAATTATGATTATCACTCTTCCAATCAACCAAACTCGCACAGTTCACGGATTTTCGACAGATAAATAAATAAATAAAAACTAAGTATATGTCTGAAAAATAATTTCATTAAGAGCTTAAACTGAGTAAGAATTGTCGACTATAATCATGTACATGAAGCAGCTCATAACAATTCATTTAGAAATATATTTTCTTATCATGAAAATAGAATATATTTTGGCCAATATTATAGTGGTATTTGAAATACTAGTTTCATTCTTGAAAATCTGTATGGCGTCTCTCATTTTGGTTCTTGAAAATAGAGATATGATCCAATGAAGGATTTAAGAATTGAGCTTTCTGCATAGTTACCGCATGTAGAGGACCCGATACCGAATATTTTACTATGGTTTTTATTCTATTGACGAAACTCAAAGAGTTTTTTTCAATATTTCACACATTTGGCAGATGTGAAATCCTGTTTGAAGGATTGATTTTAGTGTAGATTTCTAGGAAAACTAATTCTAGCGTAGTTAGGATTTTTCCATTTGTGTAGAGTTTTATAGACATCTATGAAATGAGGGTTGGAATTAAGTCAAAAAAAAAAAAGTAAGGCAATAATAAATCAAAATTTATCCAAATATATTTGGTTAAATATGATTTATCCAAATATTTTGGTACTTTGACCTTTGTTGCCTTCAGAAACTGCACCGCTACATCTGAGAAGTGGAACTCCATTAACTATTTAAAATACAATTATAAGGGTTTTAGCATTACATTTCTGTTCTTTTGCTCTGGTGGCGATGGGTCCTAAAACCATCTCTTCCTCAAATTTCTTCTACATTCTGTTCTTTGAAAATAACAAGGGAGATATTAATATATTAAAATCTTTTATATGATCATCTTCTCATTATTGTAGTGAAGGCTTCAAAGAACTCTATTGTAGCTAATTCCCTTTCTTCGTCAAGATCGTAATCTTTCTTATTGAAGGGATATGTTTAAAATGTGGTTCCCTTACTAGTGGGTCAAATCTTCATATTTGGTAGGAAGGATAATGTTCTGTCAAATTTCGTTTTCCCATTGTTGACATATGGCGACTCGAATACCCTTTGAAATTTTCCCATTTTCTTCAGTGCCTGACTACAGATATCCGGAATAAAGGATTTATATTCTTTGGTATAGTTTTGTCTAGATAGATTATGGCACTATACCCTTCTGAATATGTTCTTTGTGTAAGGGTATAAGCTTGAAACTTACTAGAAATCATTGGTCTTTCACATTGATTTAGTATAATTGAGATGTTGTCTTGAACAACGAACTTATGTCGTCGTCTTTCAGTTATTCAAAGTAAGAAAGCATTGCATGACCGTTAATCTGGTTGCGTTGATAATTATTGAACGTATCCTTAATGTTTCTTCGCGTCTGATATTTAGAATATAAACTTAAAGTCGTTTAATAGTTCGACGAAATCATCAACTTTGATACTGCTAGGTCTTTAATTTCAACTTCTTCTAAATATTTTTAGGTTCGAGAAGCTTGTACCATTTTGCAGATAATCTTGGAATTCTCTCTTGTGTTTTGTAGTCTACGTGATACAATCCAAATCTTAGCGTGTAGCCAAATGCCCACTCAAAATTATCCATCAGAGTCCACACGAAATAGCCCCGAACGTCTGCTCCTTGCCTAAAACATAACAAGAAAAAGATTTGAAGCCCCTCATTTGTACCTCATCGAGAACAAATATTAGCATGTATAAGAAGATGTTTATGTATAAAGAGCTATAGACTGCAAGATATATAACGCGGTATGAGGAGATGATACTGATAGCGATAGAGAAGACATTAACAAGAGTTGAATTCGCATTTGAATCTGATTCAAGACAAGTCTTTTTGTGTTTAGTTCATGAGAGAGGGTAAATATAGCTCGACGTCGTCATGCCATTATATAGAAGTTAAGACCTGTTCAAACCTATCCAAGTTGCGACAGTTACGAAAAGATCTAGAATTTGATCCATGAGACACCTAATGAAATAAACTCAAAAACTGATAACAAATTTATCAAACATAAGTTTCTCAATGTCGCTATCTATCTATATGTCAGTATAGAACAAAGTCGTGGCATATATGATGTGAAACAGATCAAAAGAGACGCTGATATAGAGGCTAAACTCACCTCATGGCAGCAGAAAGAGAAGTGAGGTAGCTTCCGATGAAGTCTATTCTTTCCTCATCACTGAGTAACTCATCGGTGGGAGTCCCATCATGGCATTTTTGGCTATAACCTGGGAACAAACATGTAAATGCACATATCAGACCATATTCAATGAAATAGAAAGGTTATTATCTCTGACTAAAACGAATAAAACTGAAACTTAATCACGTGATATTTTAGGTAGAACTTAAACCATAGAGGGGGAAGAAATAGAACATAACATTGAATTTCCATCATTGTGCAACTTACCATTTTCCGTGATGTACATAGGAGTGTTATTATATCTTTCCATGACGTAGAGGACCAACTTCTCTATTCCATGTGGAACCGCGTCAAAATTTGGGATTCCAGTCTACAGCATCAACAGATAAATAAGGAACCTCACAGACTCAGAACTCTTTTAATTTTAATTAAATTCTGATGGTGATGTATTCCCTTTTCCTTCCATATTGCATTGGTTCTTACCGGGTATCCAATGGGTATACCATTTCTTTCTGCAGATGTGGATACTAATGCATTTCCATCGTTGGTATCCACCACGCATGGCGAATAAATACAGTCTTTCACATAAACAGCTGTATATTGATTGAGTCCAATGAAATCCAATTTATTCTGAAGTTTTCTCCTGTCTTCAGATGTGAATTGTGGTAATCTTGATCCAAGAACTCTGCGCATTTCGACAGGATAATCACCAAACATTATAGGATCTAGGAACCTGTGTAAGTAACAATCTGTATTAGTGTATTTAAGAAAAAAATAATGAGGAGCTAGATTATGTAAAGTTTATGGAAGTCCCTTCTCCTGTTTTTAGGAAATTTAAATGGCATGGCATGCAAGAAAGGGAGATTTCATATGGTGAATTTTGTGCATTTAAGAAAAAGTTATTACCATCCAACTGCAAAAGATAAAACCCGTTGAGCCGCCAATAAATCTTGGGTAGCATTTCTTAGGGGCTCATACCACTTGCTCTGAATCACTAATCCAATAGAGCCTCCTTGACTTACCTGAATAATAGAACTCTTATAAGTTTTTTCTTATCGCATCTAGAAACATATAAATTCTTTAACTTTAAAACTAAAGATCCTAAAACTTTTACCTGATAAAATTTCCTGTAGATATCCACTGCTGTTGCATGCGACAATATAATGTTATGTGCGGCGATATATGGTTCAGATGAAGAATCGCCAAATGCACAGTTCCCATATGGCTCTGAACAATGACCTGGAGGGTACGTTCCAACGCTATAACCAAATTTCACCATAAAGTTTGGCTCATTAAATGTTGTCCAGAATTTTACTCTATCACCAAATGCCTTAAAACATACTTCTGCATAATGTCCAAAATCTTCCCTGAGAGCAAATGACCAAAAAAAAAAAAAGTACATAACTCATTATACCAATTCCATGTGGTACTCTGTAATGAAATCATCCATTTTCTTTCTTTTCTCTATATTCTTTCTTCCTTTTTAATGAAATCATTCTTTTCCATTAGTAAATTCTTTAGAATAATTGGAAAGTAAAAACCAGCTGGTTACCTTTTCTTGGTAGCAAATGTTTTATAGTAAATCCTGCCTGATAGCTTCGAGTGAAATTAGATGCTAAAATCCGTTCAACTTAAACATAGCGAGTGAGAGTAGAAAATTTACTAATCCCTTAACTTCTCCTATTGCAGTTCTCCCTCTTTTCCCCCTCTTCAAATATATTATGTGTCGATTCTCTCTGGAAAAAGTAAAACACAAGGTAAGACCGTCTTTGTTCTGTGAAATACAACTACACCCATGTTTTGTCTATACTTTTAGCAGCATCTAGTTTTAGTTTTAGTTTCACCTGTACCTGTCTCTAGGCATAAGCTGTAATACAATTGTTTAGGATGACAGAAATTAAAAATATCGTTTTGCATTATTTTACTTAAAATTCAGAGAACTACGTTTCGTGTAACAATTTCTGGCAGAATAAACTTCGCTCCCTTAATTTTGGCATGTATGCATGGTATCATCTGCATTGGTTATGACTATGATGATGAGGATCATTCCATGACATACTATATTTAGAGACAAACAAGGTTTTAAAATCAGAGGAAGGAAATGAAATTACTGTAACTGGGGACTCAGCCATGCACCATATCGATCTTCAAGTTCTTGAGGTATATCAAAATGACTCAGTGTGACAAAAGGCTGTATTCCTGCTCCAGACATTAACAATACTATATATTGTGAGTTTATCACTCTATCTAACATAATAAGAATTCAGAAAGAAAGTTAGAAACAAATAATCAATACCTTTGACTAAAAGAGCATCAATAAGGTTGTTGTAAAACTCTATGCCCACTGGATTAACCTCTCCAAATCTTCCTCCTGATAGTTAAAATATATATACTTACGCATGAATTAAATTGATTAGTTTAGTAAAAACAATGTAGGATTCAACAATGCTTAAACTCACTTGGGAGAATCCTCGACCATGATAAGGAAAATCTATAGGAGTTAACACCAAGAGAATGCATCAACTCGATATCGTCCTGTTTAAGTGATATTCCATCATATTATAGAATAGTATAGCATAAATCCATATCAACTCCAGTATTCATAGTGTGTCATCTTTTACCAAATATCGATGATAGTGGTCATCGGCAACATCACCATTGCTGCCATCATGTATTTTTCCTGATACAAAGAAACTAAAACTATTTATTCGATTATGAAGGTATAGTACAGCTTCGCATTAAAATTAAGTCTAATTACCTGGCAAATGACTGAAAACGTCCCAATTGCTTAAACCTTTGTTACCTTCTGAAACTGCACCTTCTATCTGAAGGCATTGATAAAGAAATAAGTTCCATAGACGTTTACACATAAACAAAATTTTATTCAAGTTCGTGGTGGTTTCTTGTAATAGTAAGGTGAATTTGTGATAGTTTCTGATAATCATCCTATAAATTGGATGTAATGCCAATACTTTTTTAAACATTTTAGGTGTATGTTTGCATGCAAGCAGTTACGAAAGTGAAACGCAAGAAGTTGTCGCATAGGACTTAATGCAACTTTGGCTTCCCCTAAAAAAATGGCGAATTCACGTGAAAGTGATAAACTAGTAACTAAGTTTAACCAAATGACTTTATCCATATTTATTAATTAATCCTATTTTGCCACATCATCTTCAAATTGCGTTTTCAACAATAAATTGGTTTTTCGAACAAACACTATATTTCACTTACATGCTGACGTAAACTTGAAAGTTATCTGCACAAGAAAAGATACCAACACATTTTCAATTCATTTTCAAATTGCCAAACACCCCCTGAATTAATTACTTGATTTCTCAGTAAGCTGTTTCAAGAAGTCAGAATTAGTTGAATCATTTCAGCAAACAACCAGAGGGCATCATTAGTTCAGATATCAGGGCATCGTAAATTGAAGAAAGAAAGAAAAACACCAAGTATAAATTTTAATAGATTGACCGAACGAACTATGCGAAGAAAAGCTCAGATTCAGTTGAGGCGTTTCACCAAACGAAAAGAGTCATCATCAGTTCATATCTCAGAGCATCTTGATTTCAATAACTTTTTAAGTTATTGAAGCATTTCATCAAACCACAAGAGGGCATCGCGAGTTCATGCATCATAGTTTGAAGGAAAAAAGAAACAAGTCGTGCACAAATCTATTCCAAATTGTTAATAAATGATCCAATAAACAATTCGAAGAAGAAAAAAAATTTAATAAACAAATTATGCCCTAATCTAATCCACAATTTTAATATGCTGACATAAATGATCCAATAAAGAAACAAGTCGAAGAAGAAAAAAAATTTAATAAACAAATTATGCCCTAATCTAATCCACAATTTTAATATGCTGACATAAATGATCCAATAAAGAAACAAGTCGAAGAAGAAAAAAAATTTAATAAACAAATTATGCCCTAATCTAATCCACAATTTTAATATGCTGACATAACAACAAATTACGATTTACACGCATTGTGACTGAGAAACTCTATAAAAACTCGCCAACTGAAAGCAAATGCTTACTAGCACATAATTAGGACGATTTCAGCAAAAAATTTAGATAACCCTGCAAGAAAAAAGTTACTATTTTTCCTCACAAGAATCAGAATATTTGCAAAAATAATCTGACCAACTCGTGTTTTGGAATCTTTACCTTTTGGAATCGATTGGCAAACTTAAAGTTCATATTTTTATATATATTTAAAATTATATTGCACTATCGGCGAGTATATTAACTGAATAATTTTTTTTAATTCTCTATTTTTCCCCATTTTTAAACTTCTTTCTGCACTTTATAAGAAAAAAAGTTTAATGTGTATTAATCTTATGCTGGTGTTCTTTTCAATTTAGGGAAAATTTGCAACATAGTCTGTTTTTGCTAATTATTTAGCAAAATAGACCGTTTTGCTAAATAATTAGCAAAATAGACATCTTTTTGGCCAACAGGCCAAAAAGAGGTCTATTTTGCAAAACAGCTCAGAAAACATACGGGACTAGTAGTCCCGTATATTTTAATCACAGATTAGTGAACTCAGAAAATTTCACAAAACATTGAGATGAACTCAGAAAACATACGGGACTACTAGTCCCGTATGTTTTCTGAGTCACTAATCCGTGATTAAGTTGGCTTTAAACATACGGGACTAGTAGTCTCGTATGTTTTCTGAGGCTTGTTTTTCAAAATCGACCTCTTTTTTTCAAAAGAGGTCTATTTTGCTAATTATTTAGCAAAACAGTCTATTTTGCTAAATAATTAGCAAAAACGGACTATTTTGTAAATTTTCTCTTTCATTTATTATTCACCGTCACTTTCAACAAAACATCTGTTTGGTTGGCTTTTTTGTTTGGGTTTCCCTGTCATAACTGATAAAAGCTGTCAGTTTTGGCAGCTTTACTTGCAAAAACGCTCATTTTGGAACGTTTTTGCAAGTATAGCTGTCAAAACTGACAGCTTTTGTCAGTTATGACATAGAAACAAATGCAAAAAATGCCAACCAAACAGCCCCTAAACTAAAAGCGTTGAAAGTATCTCAAAAAAAAAGCGTTGAAAGTGCGTTGCTCTCCGGCTTTCGAACATCCAAACTCCTCAACAAATATAACTTTTCTACGCTTTTCTTGTGGGCCCACAACAAAAAATATGGGTTACCTAACGGATAAGTTTTGGTCCATGAAAGCTTCTGTAGCTGACCTTTAATGAAAATGAGGTTCGACCAAACCTTACTAAAAGCTAAAACAAGAATCCAATTTGGTAAACAAATTGATTCTTCATCTTTATAAGTCAAGATAAGCGATTAGGAAATTTCACAAATTTCTGTAAATTTTCACATACGTATATTCGTTCCTTTTGCATATTTAGAAAAAAAGGGTCGAATTTTTTGATTCGATATGGATTAGACATGAATTTCATAGCTCACGTTCATTAAATATGAATACGAACATGGATAAATTTGAAGGGAAAAAAATAATGTATTTGTATTTTTATCTTGTAACTAAACAATATAATTATATATAATATACAGATAATGTGGTTGTCCAATAAATAATCTCGTTCTATTTTTTATGAAAAAATAAATAAGAATCTTGAACTTCTATGTTCCCAAAAAAGAAAAAAAAAACAATAATCGAATACTATGTATAATAAAAATACGCCACATCGTTTTCAAAATTTTCGTCCCATTTTTCTTCCCTGCAACAGTGTCATGAAAAGCCCATCACGTAAGTGGGCACCAAAATCCGATAATGTCCAACCTGGGGTATTTAACAAAAAAAAAAAAGAAAAGAAAAAGAAAAAGATGCTCTTGTTCTTTTTTTCTATAAAAGAACATTAATATGATGCTTACTTTAGTTCATTTATTAAAAAGAAAAAACAAAGATGCTTACCTTGTTTACATTTTTTGGGAATATGATGGTGTGCTTAGACGGTTAATTGCAGATAGACCCCAGTACTATTGCCATATTAGACTTACTCCCTAGTTTACGTAGTTCTATTGTTGCATATAAACTTTCCAGAAAGAGTTTTATCGTTGCAGATAGGCCCGTCAGGTGAAATCTATTGTTGCATAAATAAAGACCCTAAAAAGGGTAAAAAAAGATTTGGTGATAGTATGAGAGGGGTATATCAGCAATTAATTAAGCCTTAATTAATAATTAAAAAAACACGTAAAAATGTGGCATAGACTTATTTTGTTCCTTCTACAGAAATTATTTATCATTTCGTGAACAAATATTATAATTATAAATGTCATACACAGATCAGAGGTATGATAACAAATTAATAGCTGTTTTTTCCCTTAAGATAATGATGATGATTATAAGTTATATTTAGAATGATGGGTTTAGGTTTTTGCGAGTTAATCTAAACCTGCTTTCTCCTCCATCTTCTTCCTCTTCTTCTTCTTAGCAACAAATTACCTTGGTAATTAACGACGAGATTAAGCAACTAAACAACAAATTAAGATACTTGCCTGATAAGCTGAGGTGGAGGTCCCAAAGAGGAAAGCCTGAGGAAATTCCCTGCGATCTATGGCGGCAGCAACGCTACTAGCAGAGCAAAGGAGCTGAAGAATTATTATTGCACGCAGTGCCACCATTGCCATTGCCTTTCTCTCTCTAGCCTCCATCTCTCCCTCCCTCCCTCCCTCCCTCTCTCTCTCTAGAAATGTTAGACTTTAAAAATAAATCCAATATTTGAAACATCTTTGTACCACAATAGAACCTTGCTATTTGACGCACGCAACATGGGCACGCAGCCCATCTCGCGTGCCACAAATAGGAGGGTGGGACCCACATCTGTCTGTGCCCCCCTCCTTATTTGTGGCACGCAAGATGGGCGCAAATGACATTTTCCCAATTAATGCCATCAGTATTTAGTTGGCTTGGCTCTTAAAAGTTAATGTTCACCCATCGCTCGCTGAGTCAACTGCTACGTTTGACTTAGTGTTACCCGTAACTTTAGAAAGAAAAATGCTTCATTGAGAGATGTCCACCTCCTATTGCATAATGAGCTAGCATGACCAGCTTATTATACAATAGGGAGGGGACATCTCACATGTCCCCTCCATTGGTCTTATGTTTTGGATCCCTATAGCAGCGCTCCTTCAGAAATATCATTGTACTGGACCCTAGCAGTATTTATGTGTGGGGCCCCTTCCTCTGCTTGAGGGTGCTTTTGAACTGTTGAAGATTCCTCAACCACAGCCCACAGTTTGTGGTTGAGTGGGATCCAAAATCATAGGGACAGCTGGGGAAATAATAATTATCTTGTCAATTTTAATCTTTTTGCTTGCTTCACTAATTTTTTTAATTAATAAATATTTGCTATATACCTTCGTTTAACTGACAACTGCTGGCCGGGTTGCCTTGCACGCGAAAGTGTGGATAAATAAATGAATGAACCTCGTGCATCGTGCGCTACACGAATGCGTCACGTGATAACTCCGACAAATTGGAGGAAGAGGAAGGAAAATGATAATAGTTTGACCATCACGAAAAGATGCAACGTGGATTAGTTTTAATTGGTTATTATTGGATTAGACCTTTTAGTATGTACCTGACATAACCCAGCCTAACTTAAGGTTTTTGAAGAAATTTTCTAAACAAATTCATTCACGTTTAAAAAATAATAATCGAGCTCCTTGAGTTTTTTTATAAAAATTAACCTATTTTTTTATTTTAATCCGGTTTTTAAATAGTCGGGGTTGTCAACCCCGACTATTTAGTACATATAATATTAGGGTTTAGGGTTGTAATTGGGGATTTGCAAGCTCTTAAAAAGTCTGGTTGACAACCCCGACTATTTAGGAACCGAATTAAAAAAACCGACTCACTTTCTCGCCACGATGCTGACGTGACGAGAAAGTGGGTCGATTTTTGTAAAAAAAAAAAACTCAATGAGGTCGATTTTTTTAAAAAAAATCTAAATGGGTTTATTTAGAAAATTTCTTCTAAGATTTTTATCTTGATTTTTGATTATGTGATATTCACTTGTATCCATTATTGCGCAGGTTTATGTGATCGAGTCCTTTTTTTAACTACCGGGAACGAAGCACACAATAAAGCAAAACACAGGAAAATAGAACACCTCATGTATAAGAAAATGAAGCACAGAAGAAAGCAATAATAAGCACAAGAAACTACAATACACAAATAAAAAATAAAAAATAAAAAAAGCATGTTTAACTTTAGTGCTGAACATTGGATGGAAATCATGGATGCGCCCTTGAATTAACGCTGGTGATTTAGTTATTATTCAAAAAAGTTGGGTTTCTTGGTAACTTATTAGATATTATCAATCTTACTCCCTAAAACACTGTTAGTTTTCAATTTCTAACATCAAAAAGTTCAGATGTAGGTGCAATCAAAGCGATGATATCTCAAGTATCAGATTCGTACAAGTACCAAAGATAAAATAGAAAAAAAATAGAAAATAAAGCGCATAAGGTACCGTGTCGACACCCTCTCCTAAAAACAAAAGCATTAACATGTCTTTCTTACAAAAAACAAAACAAATTATTTGATATAGTGGCATTTTTCATCACAAATCAAACATCTTATAAACTCTCATCTTCTCCCTGAAATTGAAATAGTTACACTGTTTACTTTACACAGTTAAACTAAGCTGATCGTAATGGCGAATAATTTCTATACATATTGTTGCTAAAAACAAACAAAACCTATATCTGATGTGTGAACGCGGATAGGAAGTGGGGGCCCCGTGCAAGCTTTGAAAAAAAAAACAACGCAGAGAACACCGTTTCGCTGTTTCCGCGTGGTGATGGCCCACCCGAACACCCAAGTCCTCTCCTATAAATATACGAACCTAGGGTTTTGTGTTAGGATGAGGTAGAGGGGGAAAATCGTGTGCGAGGAGGTTTTTTTTAATTGAGGCTGTCTTCATTGGTTGCGGGAGATAGGTGCAGGCAGAGGGTTTTTTTCGACAAAGGTGAATTTTTCGGCTGCAGCAGGTGGAGAAAAATTACAGCGGCTTTTGTTAGGGTTTTGAGCATTCATTGGTGGAGATATTTGTGAGAGATTTGAGAGTTTGTGTGAGGGTTTAATTTGTGTGTTTGTAAACCCTATATGTATTCTCTCTAATAATATATCTCCCCCTTCCTTGCCCCGTGGATGTAGACAATTTGTCGAACCACGTAAAAATTGGTTGTCTCGCTGTTTGTGTGATTTGTAATAGCTTATTTAGGTTTCCTCGACAAGTCAGTCATAGAACTGATGAGAGGAAGAGCTGATATCTCACTTTGTTGAGATATTTTGCTTTTGGTTCTTGTTTCCTTGGTGAAACGAGAATTTCTATTGCGACCTAACTCTCTTGTTGTGCTTCCGAGGTGCTGTCAAAATTTTCGCTGCACGCAATAAGTGGTATCAGGACCCAGATTTCAGATCTAGGGTTTTGGAATTAGGTGGATGAAGATTCTTGTGTGAAGCTTGGTTCTTAGAGTTCCAGGCTTCGGTGGAGATAACATTAGGAGTTTTCGTTGAAGATTTCACTTTCCTCGTGTGGACAGGAGATCTATTTGGAATCCAATATAGGGTTCAGTTGAGTAATTCTTAATTTCTATCAAAGTTTGATTCTTTCTCTACAACTTGGAGTTAGTTTACAATGGGAGAAGAAGGTGAAAGCAGCAAGTCGATGGCGAGTACAGTTCAAGTTGGTTTTCAGAACACCAAAATTAGTGTGGTGAAATATGACGGTAAAATCAAGTTTGATTTGTGGATGAGCGACGTACAGGATGCGCTCAATGCTCAGAACTTGGAGGAGACCATCATGGTCCACGAGAGAACACCAAAGTATGAAGAGGCGATATAGGAAAAGATGAACAGGAACGCTTGTGGGGTGATCAGGTCATGTTTGGAACAGGAGCTAAAGTATGATGTGATTGGGATGATGTATACGATAAAGATGTGAGAAATTTTCAACAATAAGTACCTTACGAAGAGTATTGAGAACATGTTGCATTTGCTGCGTAGGTTATTCACATTCCAGATGTCCAGAGACACGTCGCTTGCGGCTCATATAAACAACTATACGAAGTTGTTGTCGGACTTGGCGAATGTTGATGAGAAGATATCGGATGAGTACAAGGCTATTATCTTATTGGGCTCCTTACCGGATGAGGAGTATGATACCTTTGTGCTCACTTTGTTGAACGGGAGATCTTCTATCAGCTATAGTGAAGTTACTAATGCATTGATGAATTATGATTTGAGGAGGAATGACAAGGATATTTTCAGTGCTAGTACTTCAGGCGAGACCTTGTCGACGAGAGGTAGAAGTCCATATCCGAAATGTGGTAATAGAGGAAGGTCAAAATCAAGAGGTCGTCACCAGCTAGGAAAGAACCAATGTGCATTCTGCAAGGAGCAGAGACATTGGAAAAGAGATTGTCCAAAGATTAAAGAAAAGGAGAATAGCAAGAAAAAGGGCCCGGAGGCCAATGAGGTGAATGTTGCAAAAGGCGATGATTCCGATGATTAGAGCTTTTCTCTACTGGTTACTCCGGAGGTGAACCACTTGGATGCATCAGATTGGATACTTGATTCCGATGCTACCTATCATGTGACCCCTAAGCGAGACTGGTTTGCATCTTTTGAGGAGCTCGATGGGGGAGTTGTAGTCATGGGAAATGACCAATCCTGTGATATTTGTGGGATAGGTACTGTGCAGATTCGGATGCACGATGGAGTAGTTCGTGAATTAAAGGAGGTGAGATTTGTTCCTCAGCTGAAGAAGAATTTTATCTCAGTTGGAGCTTTGGATGCAAAAGGATTCAAGGTGACCTTTGAAGACTTTATAGCAAAGGTTACTAAGGGATCTTTGGTGGTGATGAAGGGAGTCTGCAGTCGAAACTTGTATTATCTGAAGGGGAGCATCAAAATTGGCCAGGTTGCTTCAGCTATTTCAGAGGCGGACATGAGCAGGCTTTGGCATTATAGGTTGGGGCACATAGGAGAGAAGTCACTACAGGCTTTGTGCAAGCAGGGGCTATTGAAGGAAGCCAAGAGTGGTAAAGTGGAATTCTGTGAGCACTGTGTTCTTAGCAAGAAGACGAATGTGAAGTTCGAAACTGCTATTCATAGGACGAGGGGCAACCTGGACTACGTGCACACAAATATTTGGGGTCCCACCAAGACGGCATCACTTGGTGGTCGATATTGGTTCGTCATGTTTGTAGATGACTATTCTAGGCGATGTTGGGTGTACACCATGACGAAGAAGAGTGAAGTCCTAGATTTGTTTGTGGAGTGGAAGAAGAGATTGGAACTGTAGACTGAGAGAAAAATCAAGACGTTATGATCCGATAACGGTGGTGAATATACTTCAGACCCCTTTCTATAGCTATGTCGAGACGAGGGCATAGAGAGGCACTTCACGGTTAGTCATACACCACAGTAAAATAGGGTGGCAGAGAGGCTAAATCGGTCTTTGCTGGAGAAGGTCCGATGTTTATTGTCGCAGAGTAGTTTGGAGAAGATCTTTTGGACTGAGGCACTTACATATGCGAGCCACCTCATTAATAGGCTGCCTTCATCTGTAATTGAGGGGAAGACCCTATGGAGATGTGGTCGGGAGAGCCAGCACGAGATTATGACAGCTTAAGGTATTTGGGTGCCCTGTATTTTATCATATG